TGCATTATTATTTTAATATTAATATTCTTAAATAAAATACGTCATATATACAAAATGATTTGGACCAAACTGGAAGTGCTTATAATTTTTAATACAATTATTCATTTTGTTGCCATTTTTAAAAATAATTATTGCCTTCTTTAACTACATTTAAAGTATAATTTTATATCACTAAAAGGAAAAAATTGTAGCGAGTATGGGTGCAGCTCGTATACAACGCCCGCTTTTCATATCCAGTCATTTAATACACATGTATTAAATTTCTATAAAATCAATGAATAACTGTCCTAAAATTGTTATCTAGCCATCAACAATTTTTAATAAAAAGAGGCTACTTTGAAATTTCAAAAATAAAAATAAATAAAATAAAATTTTTTATTTTTTAGAATTTTTTCTTATTATTGATAAATAATAAAAATATGCTTTAAATGTATTCAAGAATCCAGAATTTATACAAATATCTATATATATATATATTTAAATAAAGCAAAGGTGTGAGTAGGCTATGTTTTTGCAAAAATAGTAGCCCCACGGGAGGAGAAATAAAATGCTCCTACAGTTTTTCCATAGAAAATTTATCAATGTTTCTACACAATAAAAGTCAACTCGGCACTGTTTATTATGTAGGCAACAGATTAAAGGAACAATTATAAATTATTTCAAAGAGAGATCTCATAAGAAATACGTTAACATTTTTTGAATTTATTAATGAATATGGATAGTATATGATAGTAGAGAAAAATTATTTTTTTCAAGCCTATTGAAAATAATTTCTATTTAGACTCGGAAGTCAATAAGATGAAACAGATGGTCCAAGAGGAACAAGAAAGTGTTGTAGAAGCTAATACTGATGAAATTACTATTACTGTTATAAATATTTTATATAATGTTCAAATTCAATGTTCAATATAACATTATGAATATCAGACACCAGAAAATTAAGATAACGGTGATAAACAGATTAGTTCTAGAATAATATTTTATGATGAAAAGAAAATGGCATCCATTATAAACAATGTAGTTTACTGAATAATAATGGGTAACCTAACAGGTATCAAAACAAGTAAAGATTTAATGGTAATCGCCATGGATATCAAAAACTTAAATTTAAACTAAATAATCATAAAGTTTATTATAACAGAAACGTCAATGACCCGTGAAGGAATATGAAATACAATGGTTATAAAGAGAATACTAGTAAACTTTGAATCAGCGCGTTAATGAAATTATTATAGAGGATACACATGAAAGAACCGATCTTAAAAACAATCAATAGAAATTACAGCCAACCTATAAAAAGCATATCAGCAGCAAGTCTACAATTATACAGTCACGTACTAGTATGTATGCGAGTAAAACTTTAACGTTTACTAATTACTATTAAACAATTACTAGGTACAACCAATTTAAGAGTTCTTTATTTTGATGTGTTGCTGCTATAGATTTCTAATCTTACGAAAGCGAAAAAATGAAGTGGAGTAATAAAGTGTTGTAATACGAATGAAAATTTAAAATACCATTAAAAGTATAAACAAAGAAGACTTAAACATTGAACAGATAGTTGAAAAAATTATGAGTATAAATAGTGAACAATTATGTAGTATAAGAAGTTAATTATATAAGGTCAAAAAAAATTATTAGTTACAAGCCAAGTTTACTAAAAACAGAACTGAACAAATTACAAGTGATAGACATAAATTTATTTAAAATTTCATGTTATCTAATCAAAGAGACGTTGAGATCGACTGTACAGAGATAAATTGATGTAAGGCTAGGGTTTTAGAGATAATTAATAGAAGTTTTGTCAATCTAATGACGATAATAATTAAGAAGAACTGTATGGTGAGCGTTGATGCGCCTTGAGTAAATGACAAAATTAATCCATAACATGATTCACCTTCTCAAATTGAAGATATTCTGTATGATAATGATATCTTCAGTGTATACCTTTTCACAAAGAAAGTCGTAAATATAGAGCTTTTATACACAATTATGTATTGTTTGTAGAGTTTACACTTGCAACACATGGTATTAAAAATAATTTTACCTATGTTGAAACTATATTTAATTATCCTTAACTAAAATAACGTCAAACATTTGTAGTCATTTCTAGGCTTAATGCATTAGTGTAGTATATTTCGAAAAATCTAGTACAGTATCTAAATCATTGCATGAGTTTTGCAAAAAAAAATGTAACATAGGAATCCATTGAAGAAAAGCTAAAGCTTTTAATAAGTTGTATACTGAAATATTATACTAACACATCATGTTATAGTAACAGATTTTATGTGTAATTAGACTGTTCCTACTTTAATACAAGTGGACATCAATATGAAACGGGAGAATGGTAATATAGACACAATTGTGTTTATAAGTAATATTTGGAAAAATATTAAAACAACTACGCAAAATAGAAAAGAAACTGTTGGATATTGTCCTGCTTTGTTAATATTTACACAATAATCGCAGATTATCATATAATTATGGTGATCGACCCAAAATTTAAATCTTTCTACAAAACTGTAAAAATTCAATCTAAAGACTTATGAAATCTAAGTATTATTTCTAGGTAACATTAAATTTAAAATGGGTTTTTAATATTAATTATTAAATTAATATGTGTTGTATATAAATTTGTGTTAGGAAAAATATTGTATAAATGACCTACGATAAAAATGTTGACCTGTTGGTTTAATTAGTGAAAATTCTCGTTGGTTATATAGCACAACTGGGAAAACTCCCATTCTTCTGTTGTCCTATTTAATTTCTACTTGTTTAGTTATGTATTATTATTAGTATTTTTCATAATTATTCTTTTCTTATTTTACGTTCTTATTATATCAATCAAATATTTTTTCTCATTAAAAAAATCTTTATTATGTTTAATCATTTTATAAAACTTTTCGATGAATCAAGAAAATGCTTTTGTCATTTATGTAATTAAGTTATAATTATAAACTAACAATACAAATTATACACAAAAAATAGCTGAAATATCTTTTACGTCTATAGCTAAATATATTCTTTTCACTAATTCTACTAATATACAAGAAGATTAATGAAAGTCACTCATTTTTATGGAAATTATTATTTGGTTCAAATAGTTTTATAGTATTATTTAGCTAATAAATTATTTTTAATCCCTATTGGGTTAAAAAACTAAAACTTCAATTTTGTTTTCAAAACAAAAAAAACAATTTTATAAATATAATTTTTATTCAATGAATCGTTCTTCTGTTATTTTTTGTTGAAGTTTAAAGATATTTGTCCAATTTTCTATTGATTATTTTCTGTTGAGCACACAGTAGTCGTCATTTCTTCATAATAATAAACAAGTTTTTATTGAAAACTCTTGTTTTCATATTTGTCACGCATGATAGGGAGAATAAGTACCGATGATAATTTATGGATCACTGATACAGATTATTGTTTCCTCCGGTTTTATGAAAATCAAATGTTGAATTTTTAATTTCAAATCTAACCTTAAAATAATTTTAAAACATAAACGATTTATTTGATTTATAATAAAAATACATAAATTTAAAACTTAATTATTATAAATCTTCATAATTGTAAAGTTTATTGTAAGAGTAGTGTATTCCTAAGGGTAGTTTGCAGTGGTAACATTTATTGTTTAACTGGAACCTATTATTATTATTTTACTATTTAATAGAAAATAGTCCAAATAAAAATTTAACAGGACGATAACTAATATTGTATTATTAATTATTGAGCTGGTGTAATTTTTAATTGTAAGCGAATAGATTACGCAATGTAGAATACTTATCAGTGTATTATGGTAAATTTAGAACGTCGCTAAACATCATCTTTACTGAATGTCTTTATCCTCAGATACTAATATTTCAAAAAATGAGAATACAATACTGGTTATTGACCAGTCAACTTTTATGTTCAGACCATTTTCCATTTAATAGTAAAAAATTAATAATAGTGAAATAATAACAGTTTGGGCCCAGCTCAACTTACGATATGACAATATTTTTACTCCTGCTGTTAACCTGACGAAACTTCATTATGGCTGAGATAGCTAATAAGAGTGTAAGATATGTGTCACTGTTAAAGCTCACATGTCGACACCCATATGTATGTATTTATACTATAAATATATACTATACGACACTACATATTTATACCTATTATATATAGTACTTTCATCGTGCAGTAGTGTACGATAATCGTCGGTAAGTATATTATATTCGTATTCATGATGTCGCTTGTTTTATCAAAAGATTAGGTCTATTAGTGTTATCAATAAAATTAATAAACTCGTACCTTATAACCTATCTAGTTTTCATGGTTTTAACAAAATATTTTGATCAATTTTTTGTTGATTGTGCAGCAAAAGGTGGGGTTTCATAATCATGAGCAGATTAAAATTTAACCTACAATAAATTTAGCAAAATTATGCGCATTATTTTATAAAAGTTATTTTTCGAAGGGATAAAAACTAGATTAAGCCAAAAAAAATGACCACCTTACTCGAAGCTTGGTGTTTAATCCCCACCCATTGCTTAAAATTGATTCCAGCTACAGCCATGCTATAAAAATTGTTGAAAAGATCATTTACTTGGGTAATTTACTAGTTGATTTCTAATAAAGAAGCATAATTTTTATTTTTTGTAAAATAAGAAACTTTATGAATACCACAGTCTTGATGCATTTAGTAATTAAATAAACGAGTGTTTGGAAAAACGAAACGAGCAATTTTTTTTCTAAGGATCTTATATTTGTTATGCCGTAACCATTTTTTCAATATGTATCACGTACTTATCATATACAAAAATAATAAACTATAATAAAAATGTTATTTGAGTTGTAAATTAAAGATTAATCTATCTATCTAATTATATTAGGCATTGAATTAAATTTCACTGGCAAAATAATAATAATTATTAGTAGCGCTTAATATTGTTTTTAATCGACATTTCAGGAAGTACCTAGCTAATTAATCATTATGACCCAATTTTTTGTGTTCACAGATTGTATGGCTGGACACGAAGTCAAAAATGACAGGTTCAGTTTGAAATGAAGGGTTCCGGTATCGGCGGTCCCCAAGTGCCTATGCCATCGTCGGCCGTTGAAAACGACTACGTATCGGTAAGTATTATTTTACCTTTTAATATTTTATATGAAATGACTAAAACAAACTTTATCGGAAATATAAAGAGCTCACGCTGTTTTTTTTTGTTTGGTCAGTTTTTATAAAAATAAATAAATAAATTTCTATACATCAAATATTTTTACGTTGACTACAAAATATGATTTACTTTATGAAATATAAAAATATTTATGGATTGTTTAATAAAAATTGTAAAACATCAAATAGTCACATAATTCTAGAAAATCTAGAAAATTAAAAATTATTTCTTATATAACTTTGATTATTATAAAATAATATCTACATTTATCATAGAGTACATCTAACATTATATCTGACTATAGTAACGAAATTATTTTTTAAATATTATTTAATTTAGCTTATTTTAACATATCAATAATAACTTGAAATTTGACAAAAAAAACTTTTAAGGCCACACCAATAAACGGATCAAACCTTAAAAAAAACTATTTGGAGTTTTTGAGTTTAGTAATGATGTATTATCTGTGGTCGGTGTGTGTATTTGTAGTTTTAATTATAATCTATAATGCCTTTAAAGGCAAAACTTGTTTTTTATGTATCTAAGAGAGTCCGATGGGAAATCACTGTTCCACCTAAAGTTGTATTTTTGCGTGTCGTTAAGAGCACGAAAGAAAAATGTATATTTTTTCCTCGAAATGTTTATAAGCCACAGGTGAAATTCAATTGCTAACCTAAATACTTTATCCTATCATTTTTAATGGATATACCAAAGAGTTTCAATCATAAGATTTAATTGACATGCAATTGAAATGAGTATACAAAACATATTACTAAAATAACATTAGCAAAATAAATAGACTTTACTGATAATTTGAACGAAAATTAACAGCATAATAATTTATATAATTTAATTCAACAATCAAATAAATTAAAAAATTGTTTTACAAATAATCATCTTATTTATCTTTAACAAAACTAAACCGTTTATATGAATTACACACTTCTATGAAGAATTATGTTTGAAACTATTTCCGTCAATAATTGTAAGTAATTAAATTAAAAAGTACTATTACAAATTACTGAAATCAATAAATCAATATCCATAAAATATTTTAATATTGATTTTTTTTTTTTGTGATCTCTATATAGGCGTTCTCTATAGGCAAAACTGCTACATAATTGTGTATAAATAAAAATTTGCCTATACAATATTTTGACTTTTTTTGTACAAGCAAGTGCAATTAGTTTGTTGTATTTCTAAATTATAATAAAATATATGCCATATTATTATTCAAGACCATTAGCATACAAAACTCTTTCTAAATATGATTACACTGATACTTTTATTTTAAAATACTTTAGGGTAAAAGAATAAATTTTATTTGTTTTATATATTGTAATTTTAGCTTCGATGCAAAGCTGAGAAGATATTGGTTTTACTAAGATGTGATTTTTTTTTTGTGTTTGTTACCACTTTTTCTCAGCTCTCACCGAACCGATTTCTTTCAATGATACTTCAAAAGATCACAAATCGTATCTAGTCGAAGACATTACCCTTAAAAATTGAAAAAAATTCTCTCGTTCCCCGTAAATGGGGGAAACCTCCAAAAAAATTACAAATTTCAAAATCGCTAATTTTCGAAAATTTTTCAATTTTTTTTACTTAAAAGAGCCATTTTTAAAAATAACCGAATCAACATAATTCTTTTTTTTATAAATGCATGATGTCTTTACCTATCATTTGGTATATTTTTTTTTTATAGTGATCCTTTACTTGCCCACAGGAGGGGATTTAAAATGACAACTTTTTCACAAAAAATTAACTTTTTCAACTTAACTTTTGAAAATGTTCCGGAAAGACTGACACTTTTATATATACTTTAAATTAAAGCTTATGTAATTTACTTTATTATGGAAAAAAAAATTTCGGACTTTATTTTATCTTCACGGTGAAAATGGCTACCGAATGCTATTATTGTGTGAAAATTCTCGATTTTATTTTTTACATTTTTAACTTTATAATGCTATGACATATTGAAAAGTGTATGGATCAACATTATTTTTTTATGAGAAATAATATTTTTTAATAATCCCTTTTTCATTTGACATACTTTATCTTAATTAGGATATAAAAAATGAACTAGCAGATCATGTAGCTTTTAGAATAATCCACCAATTTTTTAAAATTAAACACTATCTAAAGATTTGCATCGAAGCGTTTTTTTTTTATAGTGATTTTAATCATTGTCAGATATCATTATCCTTGATCCATCTATGCCACGTCACCACTGTGCCGCCACCCCCCTGCGCTGGGTTTTATTTGAATTGTTTATAAATAAATTTCAGTACCGAAAGTTATAATACACTCGGCTATAAATTGGACGAACTGGAGTTTAGTGTTAATTATAATAAATTTACATTTACCCTCAAGATGAACGGTTAGCTTACTTCTTAACAATTCGATGGTTTCTCTGTTTTGAAGAATTCGTTAAACTTCTACATTCATTGGGAATAAATGCAAACTTGAACAATGCCGCGTTGTTTATGTTTCAAGATTATGCGATAAGTGTCTTGCGTTAATTACTGCTTAAATCTTAATAAATGCATAATACATTGACAAATTTTAATTTTACTTGTTTTAATTTTTTTTTGACCACCAAAAATACAAGTAGATATTAGAAATTTTTTCCATACATTTAAAACCTAGTTTATGGAGTTGAAAAAATAAAATTAGTGGACTTTATTTGCCACGTGTGATGTTACATGACGTACACGATTTTGCACGTACTCGGTTTGTCTAAGTTTCATATAAATTGCTTTTGATGGAAGTGCATTTTATGGATTGCAATTAAATTGAACAGCTGTCTAAAAAATAAAGTCAACGAAGACATTTCATAAGCATAGTGCTGTTACGTTATTCACGTTATCAAAAAAGCTTTTAAGCGGTACAAAATTATAATAAATTCTAAATTGTCAATGACAAAACACATCTGATTCAAGTGTTTTCTAAAGTTTTTCGATAAACTGAAAAAAGTCAGATGACGTTGAATACGTTAAAAAGACATTATGCATCGGTTAAGTACTTGAAACCTAGTCATGTTTTCGATGGGTTCAGTCCGACACTTGTTTATTGTACACAATAATTCGATTTTTTTTGCAAATGATGCATAAAAAACCCTAATTGTTTATGATAAATATAATTTAAAAACATTAATTTTCTTTCTTGCTCAGTATGACAAACGTAAAGTGATTTATAAATGTACAATGGCATTGGGGACAAAAAATATTTTGCCCGATGGAAACCATTATTATCTCTTAAGCCGGGTTCCCACTATTTGTCTGTTTGCCGAATATTTTTCTATATTTGTAAGGCAGTGGGAACGGTGTACGAGTACGAGTGGTCGACAATCGTTCATCGGTATTCCCAACCGTTGTCGGTGTTTGTGACACGAATCAAAGAGATTATAAATATTTGTCCAAAGGCGCGATAAGTGTGGACGCACTACTCGGCTATGTTTATTATGTTAACGACTACTCGTTCAAAATCAATACTTTATTTATTTAATTGTTTTAATTAGTTATTAAATAAAATTTCAATTGTATTATATTATTGTACAGAGTGTTTTATTTAAACGCTAGTCAGTCCAATTGCCATTAAAATAATGAGTTTTTTTGAAAAATTTATTTTCGGATTTTGTTGGTTACATGTTATAAAATAATTTTTAGGTCCATCTCTTATATCATATAGAGGTGTCAACTAACATCAAAAATATTAGAGCTTTTAATAAATTAATAAGTTATTTTGTATCCAGTGTTCAATAACAATACATACTAGAAAATACAAAATAATTTTACAAATAGACGAGTAATTGGGAACCTAGATAATTGTATATACCAAAACTTATAATACTTTACAATTTTGCTGTAAGAAAATATCTAAAAATTCCCATAAGTTATCCTGTAATCTTTAATATACACGTTATTTTACATACAAGTAATGTAATTTTTATATAAAGTATCGAAAATTCATACAAAAATATGATATTTTTATCACTATTTATCGGAAGTGGCCTTTACACTGTATACGTTAAAAAATTCCAATACATATATGTGAAATTTCGAACATTTTTTTGTAAGACTGTATGAAAAAAAGTCGTCTAGACATATTACACAAACATATTGTTGAATATAAAATTTAAATTATATGCGATTCTTAGCTATCAAATACTATTGTAATGTCATAAACTTTAAAACTCTTGAAAATACCTAATTCAGAAATTTAAAATTCAAAAACAAAAAGCAATGTATCTGTTTTTTTATTAATTCAAGAAAAGAACTTTTAAATAAATGCTAAACTATTTTGTTATACAAACTTTTACCAGTTAGCTGTCTTATTTTAAAGTTAATTTTTTTTTTCAATGAAAACATTTCAAATGTTTTATCTCAAGTATTTTATAACAAAGAATACGTACAAATAACCAATGTCACTTCTAACCACAACAAACTATAAATAATGGGCTCTCTTTATCGAGAGCCTATAAAAAAAGTAACTGTTTAAATAGGCTTCAAAAAAAAATATTTTTTATTTATCGCTTCATAAAAATTATAAGCAAAAAAAGGTTAAAAATCAATTTTACAAACCGGAATATGTTAATCAATGCGGCCCCCATTGTTCAATCGACAATGAACCAGGAAGAAGTCGCCTTCTTGCTACTGTGACTATTTCACCAATATAATATAAAATTATCATTATTTTTAAATTTGTATGTCTTTAAAATTAAAAAAATATACGAAAAATAGTTTTTTTTAACTATTATATGACTTTAAATAATTCTAGTCGAAGTGATTAAAATTGTTTCTGTGTAAGTATGTTCCAATTTGTTATTCACTATGAACTATGCGATATTTTGTCATAGTGTCTACACATTTTTTGCTATAAGCGATCGCATTTAATACATATTGGTTAATCATGGGAAGGTTACATGTAGAACAATTATTTTAAATCGATTTATTTCTTTTGTGGTTCCATTAATAACTGTACATTTCAAAAGATATCCTGAAACTGACATTAGCATTAAAAATAATTTATTTGAAATTTTTCTATTTTGTAACTGTGGAAGCAATATAATTTTATAGTAATATATATTAATACATGTACACTATATAAAACTGTGTATTAATATATATATTTATATTTATAGGGTTTCTCACCATGTTCTAAAATTGTTAATAACTGACCCTCTATATTATATAAAACATGTATGCCTTAAATAATTATAATTTATATACATTAACCAATTAAAATAGATTAACGTATGAATAAATAGGTGCCTTATGATAAAATCCTTTATACTGAAGTACAACCTTGTGTAAATTTAATTCAATACCTTTTGTTAAATCCGTACGTTTGTATGCATTTCATATGTATGTTGAATTATTCATGAAAACACAAACTTTATATCTTGATTTTGATTTTCATCCAACCTAATAAAAATCAAAAGACCAAAAAATAGAAAACAAGTTATCTTAAAATTTGATCGTTTATATTTTGTAAATAAATATTTTTTCCGGATGAAATCAATTGCTTTATTACTAATGTAATAAATGTAATGTTACTAATAAACTTTATCATTCCAAGTTATAATCATAATAATTAAAAAACAATATTTTGTATAATATTAAATATTCATCAAACGATATTTTCATTTTGTAAAATCAATCTAAACTAAAAAAAAAAATGTTGTGATAAATTATTTTTTACTTTAGAGAGACCGCCATTACAATGTTATTGGTGTTTTGGATGTTACCGGATACGGACATTCAGCCGCCGGTGCCGGCACTGACAAGATCTTCGACGAGAGGTTGTCAAACTCAGTGGCAGTCGGACAGCACAACACTCACAATCAACCGGACGTCGTAAGTCCTTCTAGACTATCTATCCCATCCATTACACCACGTTGCAGGTGAGAATTAAACTTGATAATTTTTAATATTACTTATTTAATATTAATTTATTTCAACTTTTACATTTAGCACATTTAACAATGTACTTATTGAATTAATAACATGATTAAAAATAAACGACTTGTTGATAAAAAAAATGTCCAATGCATACCGTTTTTCAATTGACGTAATGATAATTTGAATCTTTCATCCACTAAATCTTAAAATAATGATAGAAATGACTGAGAATTTTTAAGAAGAATATCAGTTTTGTTATTTAAATTTTATTTTATATAAACATATGGGAGCAATATTTTTCTCTATTCTTCTGTTAGAGTATATATGTTAGAGCAATATATTAACATGTATACCGTTGAAGATATCAACAGATAATACCTAAATTTTCACTGGGATTTATTCACAGTCCCACCACGCCAAACAGGGTAAAATAGAGTTCATGTGTTTGAATCATACAATATTTCTTTCGGCGAGTCCAATAATATAGAGATCGCTATATTAGTTAATAAATTATAAAGCTTTTGTATGTGAGTGGCTATTTGTACAACCAACTATTTCATTTGTCTCATTTTCAGTTATTGAGTTTCGTGTGATAAGTTTCACAAATTGTCAAGTATAATTTATATAATTTACTCCCAAGTTAAATTTCTAAGCTTATTTGCATTTGAGGAATAATTTGTGAAATTCAATTGTATTAATAGATTTTACTGAGCTTTATTCGTGTTCTTCAAACCGTCTGCACTTGAATAAAATATATGTATTACCAGCAGACGCGACTGTAGTATTAAGATAATAATTACTAAATCGAATAACTGTTGTAGTAGTCGGGATAACTGTTTATTTGATTAAATTATATTATTATGCATATAATAAGGATTAATATAAGAAGAATAAGTATAATAAAAATTGATCATTCGTCGTGGCTAATATTTAAACATTTTTACCATATATTATTCATATCCCTAATGAAACTTTAAAAGATTGTCTTTGATTTTAAGCTGCTACAAATTTTTAGTTAGTTTTTCCTAAGTCCTGTTAAAATCCAGATAATAAGTATTAAAAAAGTGAGATATAAAATTATAACATTACATATTATGTAAATCATACACTTTTAACTATTTATAATTATATTGAAAACGACGGGACAGTACAGGGAGCAAATTTTTTAGGAAAAAATCATCAGACATGTGATTTAATAATATATGTATACAACCTGCTATTTTCATGTAATAATATTGGACAGTGAGAACTGAGAATAAGTGGTAACAGACACAATAAAAAACAATAGTAAAAATAATAGTTTCTCTGCTTCGCATCGAAACTAATAACGATTAAATGTTATTTTCATTTATTAAAACAAATAAATGTATGCACTATATTAACACTATTAAAAATAAACTTAAATGTGATGTACTCAAATGACGCATGAAATGTCAAAATCTTTTGGGTATACATAAGTATTTATTCATAGGCTCTATACTAAATAATATTGGCAATAATCAAAATTTAAAAATATTTCATCAAACTATTATTCATTCTGCCGACATGTCCCGAACGAAAAACGGATGCTAGCTAGCTTGTTTAAATGTCAGTCATCCATTTTTTTCATTGTATATTAAATTAAAAAAAAAACATTATAAATGCGTCATATTGTTTAAGTTTCAATAGACGGTCAACGAATAACACTTTTATTTTTATTACACAAACATGTTATTTATTTTGTGAATTTCAAATGGGCTGATTTATGTACACCTATAAAACCACCCATACTTAAGTAGGTTATGCAGCTGAAAATAGAAATACAATTATTAATGTTTTCAACTAACACATAATTGATTGTGTACACAAGTTAAATTTTCCGTCTTATTTTTTAATTCTTCTTGTTTTTCCTCACCTTAATCCCAACTATTAGGATTCGGCCAACCTTATCCTAAACTTCCACTTGACACGATAGCCCACATCATCTACTCTAAATTTTTAATTTAAATTTAATAATTTTTTAATTATATAATATAATTAATTATGAATTTAATATTCAAAACTAAAATGATAGTAAAAATTTTTTATTTCATTCATTTTTTTTAGTATTGGATCTTCGACGTCTTCTGGTCATTTAGCATTTGAAAGTCAACTGTTAGATGTATCAATACGATTAAACGATACCGCCAAAGTTAAACAATTTTTGGTAATTCATCGAGATAAATTTCAGGTAAATAAAAACCTTTGAATTGTATTCAAAAGCTGATAAGTTACAAAAATGTGATTTTGGCATTATTCTTTTTTGCAAAAAAGTATCATAAAATAAAATTGTATGCTTATTTTATAGGTAAGGTATGTTTTTGTATTTGAAAGATATCAATGATATCTTATGGAAATCATTGAAATTTAAAATTAATATATTTTCTCCTCTAGAATTGTCATAATTCAGTTCACTAATATCAGTAAAATCGACTATAAAAAAAAACATAAAGATGAACTACTTTTCATATAATAATAATTTAATTTGAATAAATCTATATTCCTAATTTGTATTTTTAAATTCGTAAATTATTATTATACTTAAATTAATCGCAAATATTTTTAAATAAGAATTATTAAAACGCAAAATCAAGTTACCAATAATGAAATTTTTATCTTGCAGTTAAGCTCAAAATCTCTAGATAAGCAAGCTCAAATTAGTACTCAAAACTATGAAAAAGACTTTGTTACACACCAGTCAAGACCATTGGCAAATAGGTAAATATCTTGTATTATTCTTACAGATTTTGATCCAATGCTTTTCTCTCACCAGAAAAAAAAAAAATGCTTAATGTTTATGTCGCATATACACGAGTACTATAGTAAAAAGTCAAAATGGAATATTTAACAAACAATAATTGTTCAAATACTCGTAATTAGTTTAACATAATAAAAAAACACAATGTTATTTAAATGAACTAAACAATTCATTAGAAATGCTTTTATATTTTTACACTCATTTAAAATAATATAAAACAAATTAACCTAAGCATTTTTTCCTTGTTTTTGATCTTATATTTTATACATTTTAAGTACATGCAGAAAAATCGCATCATTAATTTAATTATGAGACATAAAAATATTATAATAATTGGGTTTAATAAATATTAGACCCAATTAAGTTTTAGCGTGTTTTGACTAATAATAATATCCTACTAACAATTATAACTCAAATTTTTATTAATTTGTTAAAAAGAATTTGTTTGGCTTTTTTTTTTGTATTAGTAGTAGTATTGTAATAATTAAACCAATTGCAGTTATAGAATTATATATATTTCGTAGATCAAATGTAGTTCTTTCTTAGCTTTTCTAAAAGAGCTGTAAATGTTCAATGTGGTCAAAATAGGAGAATGTCCTCTATTATTACTATATCTAAAATTAGTAATTAAATGTTTATTTAATTGACTAATATCATGTTTCTGCAATTCTTGTCATATGGCAATATAATTAGACTGCGGTAAAAAACAATGTATGCGTTTGACCACTTCTTAAATTGTTAATTTTCACTTTTTCATCTCGAAAGTAATCTCTGAGAAACTTTATATCACACAATTTCCAAGGTATTATTTAACTTTATATTAATATTAATAAATAAAAAATTACATGATTGCAACATTATTGGATTTGTTATTACACATTTTGTGAAGCAAGACATTACTTGGAAAATAGGGTATTTTAGAGGGTAACATACGAGTTTATTTTACTCAAAAATCTAGGGACATCAGTTTTACTAGAAATTAGTATTTCAATGAATTTTATATCAGATGATTCTCTTATAGCTATCAAAGATGTAAACCCTAAAGTTTCATTACAAGTATGCATTCATGAAGGCTGTAGTATATTATAAAAAGGTACCCTGCACAGGCTAACGTTATTGAACCTTCTTCTATGGTGTTATATATTTTAATAAACAAAACTACTCGATTGCAATGAACTACTTGAACAAAGTTCCCAAGAAATTATTTTACAAAATTTCTTTAAGTTATTTTATGATGTGTTTATACCGATAATTTTTATTATTATGTTTTTAAATGCTTGAAAATTTTTAAAAAGGGAACAGAGACACAATTTAAACAATACTCGATTAAAATTGTATTTCTTTTTGTTACTACCCTATTTTTATTTTTAACCGTAGTTATTAATAATTATGTTGAAACTATTTTTGTATTTTTTCTAGAGCTGAAGATTCTTCACAGATCTCATCTCCAATAGATGATCCTTCTTTGTTGCCGTTTAAAAATGCCTTGCACACGGCCATTGAGTGTGGATCGGTAGATGTTGTTCGAACATTGCTAGAAAATGGAGTAGATGCAAATGCCGGTGGTCGTTTGTGGCCATCATCCGTTTTGATTGGTGATACACACAAGCGTTCACGTCCAAACACACCCATACTGAATGGCCAACGTTCTGTACCGGTGGCTGCCTACCCTTCTCAATCGCCCGGTGCTAAATCTCAGCCAGGGATTTATTCTGATCGGGATGACCACGTGTTGCATACAATCCATTCACCGTCAATCGAACAAATAGGTGAGGTAGTACAAATATCTAAAAATCACCATTATTGCAAGTATCCCGTGACGAATTTACAAAGTTAAATTCATGAATGAATAATCCCTTGTTTTTTTATTATAATTTTCTTATTGCTATTTTATAAGCGTTTCCGCCAACCGGATGCGAAACAACGAAATCCATTTATTGGTTTTATAATTGTAAATAACTCAATACGAATGGCAAGTATTAGGAGACTTTTTATAAAGTTATCCGACAGGCTTCAGGGTTGCTGTAGAAAACTCCGATTCAAAGGCAGACTTTCGAACGAATGATCGTGTTAAAAGTTTTGTTATGCTTTGCGAGCTCACATTCGCCGAATCTAACGTAAACTCGACGTTAGGCCTCCCTAGGGAATAATTTATAGTTTTGCCACAGGGTAGGGAAAGAGACATTTCGTGTTCATAAATAGGTAGATTTTGCAAACACCTATAGTCGTGCAATGCCGTAATGAATATTAAAAGGCTTGATGGAAAAAAAATATATAACAGTTTATATCTAAACAAACTCGCAACACGTTAATCAATTTTTTTGTAATTTATTCACTTTTTACTTTTAAAATGTTTTTTTCTGATATACTGGGAACATTATTTACCATTTACAGCCAATGGGAATCAAATTCGGATTTCTGTATGAAAATTGATGGTCTTAAAAAGTTCTCTATACGACAATAAAAAAAATTAAAAGCCTTATTGTTATTTTCCGATTTGACATCTACAAAATATATAATCTTACTGCCTTACGATAATCAAATTTGTTTTTGGATTTCTTGATTTTTATTATCCTTTCACTTCGACTTTTAACCAATTATTCAAATAAACATTTCATCTGAAAATAATCAATAGAAATTCAAACATTTTTATAAATTACCTAATGTATATCAATTCGGTACAAAAAAGGACAAAGTTCCACTAAATTTGTATTGCTCAAACATGATATTATAATATCAGCTTAAGGTATAAACTTACTGAAATAATAAAAAATACTCATTCCCTAATGAATGTTGAACAGTATTATAAAATTGTTTTATTTGCTTGATTTATCTTTGGAAAGTAATATCATATTTTATGGAGGACAAAATATATATTATGACATTTGGATTCACGATGTAAATCTTTAATTTACCTGATTTTTTGAATATAGTAAGAAATAAATCAAAATTCATTAATATACATGATTTACTAGTAAAAACAAATTGCTATTTTTATTTAATATATTTTCTTAAGCTGTATATAATAAAAATATTTTTGTCAATGTATTTATCAATAAATTTGTAATGAAATAAAGTTACTGTTTTTTTTATACATAATACTGATATATTGACAAAAAGTTTAAGTGATAACGTGATAAACTTTAATTTTAATACATCTATTTGTTTACTTTTCATCCTGAAGCATCAGTAACAGATAACATTTTTTATTGCATCTATAANCTTTAATTTTAATACATCTATTTGTTTACTTTTCATCCTGAAGCATCAGTAACAGATAACATTTTTTATTGCATCTATAAATAAGTAAACATTTATGAACTTGTTAAAAAGATAAAAACTTAATGATATATTACGAAATCACTTTTACTTATTATTTATAATAGGGGACAATATTATTTTTAATTTTTACCATTAGTTGCATTATTCTTCGTCAAATTTATTACTTTAATTATTTAATTATTTAAGTATTAATAGATATTTATAAAATAATATGACAAAATTAACCTAAAATATAATCTATAAAAATTATTGTAACTATTAGTCTCGGGCGTACTCGAATTTCAAGTTACTGATTAAAAATTTATTAAAACTGACACGAACAAATAACTATTGAATAAATGTAACATGAAATAAACGCGATGTGAAATTAATAAAAAAAATGTTTTAGCAAATTTTACATGTCAAAACTTTTTTACAAATTTTACATCGTATTTTATTTTTGTGATTATTTTAAGTTATATTTATTTAATGCTTGCTTGTTTAGTTTTAATTACTTTTCAATCAGTATTCTAATGATGGTATATGATCAAAACTAGTAGTTACGATAATTATTATAGATTATACTCTAGATTAAGTTTTGCCAATTTTATTTTCTTATTATTTATACATTAATTATTTATGAATAGTATAAAAATTATTTTAAATATTATTATTTATAGAATAATAATGTCATCAGTGTTAAGTTTCGTAATTAAAATCAATAGGAACATTTAACTTATCACATGTTTTTTCATGGATTAATAAAAATAAATATTTATTTGAATGTGATTTTATAGAATGTTTGGTGAACGGTTGTGATCAAGACAATCAAACGGGTCAGCTCAAAACATCTGGATCGTTGCTAACCAACAAAAATGACAATTCAGGAAGGATTTCGGGGAGAAGTGGCAAACTTGCTCGAGTTCTGGCACGGCAAAGATCTTTGTCTTTAGACACAGACAAATCTGTACAGACTAGAAGTAGCACATTTTATAAGCAAAGGCCAAACCCTTTGGTTAGGTCAACGCCGGGTGCTATATTTGCGGCCAATAATAGTAGCAGCGTACATTCTACAGGTCCTTGTCCGTCAGTAGTTCCTAAAAAGTCAGCCCCTATTGAACTAAAAGGTATCATGGGGGAGCTACGGCGAAGCAGTGATGTATTTCGAGCAATTTTATGGAATTTATCGTTTCGTGATACATTTAGTAGTAATACAAGTGAACCAGATAGCAATGAGCTAGACGTATCAACGCTATTTGACCGTCACGAACAACATAGATTTGCTGATTATGAAATGGAAAATGGTGGTCATTGTGGTCTAGTTGATTCGTTATCTTCAGTCCATTCGATTCAATCGTTTTCTACCGTGGGTTCTCCAGGCTCACTGATAGCTGATCAATTGACTAACGGACATACGTATGGTCCTGATAGTAGTGGACCTAAACCTCTGTTCAAAATAAATAGCAACTTGTCTTTGGATCAACTTCATGATATGGCTGAGGTGTATACCAGACGTTATTTGCTAACGTTACCACCACTGTTCTTGGCTATGGTTCAGCAAAACTCTACCATGGTCTACCTGTTGCTCAAACATGGCGCTTTGCCAAATATTCAGGTACATAATATTACTGTTTGCAATAAATTTATTTCTATTTGGACTAAATTTCAACAAAATTAAATATTTATTTTATCAAATCTTGAAAATCGGGCGTGTTGTTGCGCTGTGGTAACACTATTTGTTGACAAAACTATGGTGTTAAGCCGCACCTACCGTCGTAGATTAACGGATGGGTGACCATACGTGCGATTTTTTACGGTGGCGAAAAAACAAAATGCTCCTAGCGCAGAAGGTAACAGGAAACCACTGCACCTATAAATTTCCCAGGATTGTAAAAAAAAATCAAAATTAAAATCTTAACAAAATTTTTTATATATTCATATAAAAGTATAAATTTTATTTTCAATTATAAGTAGGTTTTATGAGTAATGCTACTTGTATGCAAAAAAGAAAAAAGTATTATATTAAAATATAAAATAATATAGTACTTTATATTAATGTAATATTTATATTATAAAAAATAATTATTTCAATTATGCGAGGAAATACCTTGAAGTAAAATGACTTACTTGTACAAAAGTGCTAGTAAAAAGAATTTTTTATTTATAACATATTCACTGTAGTTCGATTAAACTAATCTTATATTCATCATAGCTTAAAAATAGTTTTTGTGGTAATCAAAAAATTTTATAATAATCGTTTAAAAGAAACTTTTTATTGTGTTTCATAATCAATTAATTATTTTTTAACACTCTGGACTGTATAATTTTTACACATTTTTATAGAATATGAAAATAGTAGTATGACATAAAAAATATTTTCTTAGAACAGCTGTTTCATTATATTTCTTAATTCTTATTATATTTAATTCGATTTTAAGTAACCACACTACACTCGTTTAGTACTTCTTACAAAAATATAACAAAAACGACTTACAAGTTGAATAGTAGCATACGAAAAATAACGATTTATATAATAATAACTGTGCTGTAATTTTACAAATCTGATATTATAAACTACCTAATTTAGCATTTTGGTGCGCGCAGGTGCCTCGTAGTCTCAGTCGACGTCCGGTTTCCGACTAACTTACACTACAAAGCCTGCGCTTTCATCGCCCTCTGCTTACTTCATATAATTTATTAACTGTCAATAGCTCAATACCCATCACAAGTTTCACGTTAACATTTAGTTTGTACTACATTCAAGCAAAACTTCTAAATCCGTTCATCGTTGAGGTATCTCATTTCACCTTTTACTTCGAATTTCTTACAAGGCTACAAGAATAGATTATAGCGAACGAAGAGTTATTTGATGATGCAAACACAAAACATCTCTTATTATGTATTTTCAAACCTATTAAAATTAAATGTATTTTAATATTTTAACGCTCCTTATCAAAATTATTTATCGCAATTTAAAAGCTCTCTCATGATATTCTACATTTTTTTATAAAATATTTCATTTTTATGTTGTTAAGATTTGAACCACCTTTTGAAAAATAACTAAAAATTTAATTTCGAAAAAATTGTCAACATAGATCTTAAGTAATGTTGAAATTGAGATAACTATAAAACTAGCTTACTTTAAATCTAGTCTATATTTGAACATTTTGACCTTTCAACTTTGTACATTACATAATTTTTATTATAAATGCATTGTAAAGTACTGTAGATTCACTTATAGTTAACTCAACAAACACTGAACTCATATTTATTTGTAATAAATCAAAAAGAAGTGGAAAATGATGAAATTAATGTGGACGGTTTGATTCATTACCATAAAAAAATAAGTTAAAAATTTAATACCCCTACTGGGCGTATGATTTGAGGGTTCAGAGTGGAGAAATATATATTAAAATATGATAGATACGTGTACTGCTATATATACAAATAAACATTTTAACTTGTATATTTCACTTATCTTTTTACTTTTTAAATGATGATGCAGTTGACTTCAATGAATATGTTTTTACTCAAAATATAGTGTCTACTAGTTAAATTTAATATTGTTATTTTCTTTAAAAGTAATTTGAGTACACTTAGGAAAATTTATTAACTATTAACACAGAATATATTTTTAATAAAATTGAAAGCAAGCGTTGACGACAATTAAATCTTAATAATTAATTTAAACAAATACATCGAAGTTACAGTATCTGGATGGGACATCCATTGTAGTCTTCTTCGTAGACCGAGGCTATACCAGAGCCTTGACTAACGTCTTATTTGACAAAACGATGAAAAAAATCATTTTATTTTACTTAGCATATTTTACTATCTCCGTTTCCTACTTAATTCATAGTTAGCACTCCTTGTATTTATTCATCAACATTATTCGTTTATACACGGTATCATAAGTTAAAATAAAATGCTTGTATATAAATATGTTTCTATACAGTTATTGAATTCACTTAAAAAAGGTCGAGGAATACAATGTATTATAGTATTGCACATATTAATATATATTCTTATATACACGTAGGATTTTTCAAAAAATTCAAATTTAGCTTCCATTTTAAATATATTTGAAATATAGATTTTTATTGTATTATGACATCAGTAATTATATTAGTTACTATTGTAGTTAATGTATTATGTAATTAATCTTATAAAAATTAAATAAAATTTAGCTAATAATATTAAAATAAAACGATAATTCATTGAATCAAAATAAATAATACACGCTGTTGAGTTAACATATAATTTAAGCATTACTTAAGTGATCTTTAGAGGCTTATAAATACCCAGAAATTATGGTAATTAATTAGATCGTAAACATGGCATAAATTAATAAAGTACAAAGAAATAATCAATAAAAAAAATTACGCAAAACAATCATAATATTACACAAGTTTCAAATAGAAAAACATGATTCGAAAGTCACTATATTTAGAACGCCAAACTTTTTTAAATAATTAAACTATGCAAAAATTGATTTATGCAAAAAAAATATATATATATATATATATACAAAAATTTTCTGTTATGGTTGATTTGACGTTATTAGTTTTTTTGTTTCAAAATACCACAAAAGTAACTTTCGTGGTATTTTGTCAATAACTGTTATTGACAAGGTTTAAAAGTTTCACTGGAAACGAGTTTCGTTTGTTAGAGATTTCTGGTGACGGAGAATTATAATTAGAATTTTACACAGCTACGTTTCTTCAAAGTACTTCACATGCCTTAAGAATTCAACTTGATATTAAAACAAATTCAGAGTACAAAAGATTTCAATAAAAAACATACCAACCAAGCTTTTAAAAAATAATGTTATAATAAAATGAATAATTTCAAGCGAATAATTTAACACATATTAAAAATATTAAATCATATTCAAGTAAATAAGTAGCTTTAGACTAAAATACAGTATGTGTAAATTGAGTATCTGTTTATTCCCTAAATACAAATATACGATTTTAAGTATTTTTTGTGGTTTTTAAATTATATACGTTAAGTTTAAAATTTTAAATATATTTTTAATAAAAATTTTTTTTGAAAAAGAAAATATTTTGTTGTTAGAAAAAATTACTTCATTATGAATACTTTAAATTAGATTAATTAAACTAGAAATTTCTAAATAGTAATTTTCATTATAAAAATTCTTAAAAAGCAATTTTTTAAACCACTGAAAATTTCCTGTCAAAAATTTTAATTCAATAAAATAATTTGAAATACTATTCAAGCAAATTTTTTTATAAATCAATATTAATATTTAAATTATTATTTGAAATTCATATTTTTTTTTAATATCTTAATTATTTAGTACTACACCTCATATAAATTTTATTTTTTAATGAGAAATGTACATTTTTTATTAACTAATTTTACAAAAAATGATCTAGCTAAGAAAATGACTAGTCAATAAAATTTTTTGGATAGACTTAAGATGTTATTACCATTGTTAAATTTTGTCTAGGTGCATGAAGCTTCGGTTACCACTTTTTTTCAGCTATTGAAATTTTCATGGTTAAGTGGTAGTAGAAGTGCAACTGAAATGGTTAGGAATGAATGTTTTTAGTTAGATGTACTTATGAATTATAGAAGTGAATTTAAATAATAAAATGAACGCATCCATCGACAAAATATAATATTTTTCATTTTTATCAAAAAATAATTGTAAAATATTTTTATCAAACAATATACAGAATGATCCATTTATCATATCCCATTCAATCACTTGTACAATAAAATTTATGTTGACATTTTTATACTTTGGTGGGATGAAGAGTACGGTCGGCAAATGGCTAGTCATATAAATAATAACGTCTGCATCATACCTTCTTGTGTATCAACCTCTTTTTGTTTACTGTAAATTTTTATACTTAAAGGGCAATGACTACGGAGTATTATTTAAGAATTTATCAATTACCATAATCAAGATATCATGTCTCGCTACCATGATTGGAAATCATAATATCTTAATAATTACCTTAATCATTTTTCAACATGATCATGTTGCCACGATTTAATTCAATGATTTACTAATCAGAAAAATTTGTATATAATAGTAATGATACTTAATTATTCCCATTATCCTAGCACATAATTACGGAAACGGTCAAAGAAGTATGATATTATTAAACATCTAGACAGTACACATAATCTATGTAGAAAAACAAAATATAATATAAAAATAATAATACTTCATTTGAATATAATAACTAAAAGCACATAAATGTCTATCGTGCATATAACAAAAATTAAATTATAAATTAAAAAAACCCGTCTGTATAATAAATACAAAATATTAAACAATATAATAAAAACCCAGCACAGGGGGGTCGCGGCACAGTGGTGACGTGGCATAGTTGGATCAAGTATAATGATATCTGACAGTGATTAAAATCACTATCAAAAAAAAACGCTTCGATGCAAATCTTTAGATAGTGTTTAATTTTAAAAAATTGGTGGATTATTCCAAAAGCTTCATAAACTGCTAGTTCCTTATTAATATCCTGATTAAGA